GGCTTGGCCATGTCCTGGTGGGTGACCAGGCCCCCGCCTCTCCCACAGGGCTGGCTCAGGGGAGGGCTGCACACACGCCTTCCTGGTCTCGCTGGTTGCTGTGAAGGCAGCTCTTAGTTTGCAAAGCACTTTCCATGGGGCCTCTCATTTGAGCTGGGCTAGTCGTTATCAGGCCTCCCTAACCGATGAGATCAACACCGAGGAAAGCCTAGTGGCTTCACAGACACAGCCCCCATCACCACCCTCCCCTCCGCAGGCCCCTCTGCCAGCACGAACTCGGCAAGGCAGGGCTGGGTCTCTGCCGTCTTGGTATGGCCGGGTAGCCAGCTTTCCGTCTGGCATAGCTATGGTGTTCCCTAACACGCTGCCGCAGAAAGGGGCGAGCGATTCATGTCCCGCGTGTCCACGGCAGGGTTCCGAGGAGAACCTGGATGGCCCCCTTCCCCCGTGGAACCAGTTATGGCTTGGTAGAGGTTAAGAGCTGGGTCTTGGGGACCAGCAGTTAGCGTAATGGCTATGTCGCTGAACTCCCATGTAGTCGACCGCGGTTTGCGTCCCGGACCCGGTGGCTTAAAACTTACGCCAGGCGCATGTGCGTGCGTGCCCAAGATCCCAAGAGGAGAATGGAGGAGAAGGGATTGTGTGGCCATCCCCCCTGGGGGGTGATTTCTCGCTTTCTGTCTCTGTCTCTCTCTCTGTTTTTCGGGTGAGTACATACGCCCCCATAGCAAAAAAAAAAAGAGCCAGGTCTTGATCCAGCTTGGGTTGGATCTTCATTCCGCCATTAGCTGGCAGTGTGGCCCCGGACCACTCACTGACTCTCTCGGCCTCTTTCTCCTCGTTTGTAAAATGGACCGATGATCACGGTGCCCATCCTGGGGCCACCAGGGGCCCAGCGAGCTTGGTGCCTGTTAGGAGCTCAGCCATGGCTGCTGTCTCCTCACTGTGTCTAAGGACAGCCTCGTGGGTGCCGAGGGAGACAAGTCCCTGCACCTAGGCGCCCCGGCTGCACCCTGTCCTGTGGAGGAGTTGTGGGCGTAATTTCAGAGGGCCCTGCGACTCAGGGCTTTGCAGGGACTCCCGATGTGGGAGCTGTGTGGGTCAGGACAGCTCGGTGTAGCGGACAGATTTCTGCCCCGGGAACAGCACGATCCCTGTTTCCGGGGGTATGTGAGTGGGCGCTGGGGGTGGCTGGCTAGGGACACCCTGAAAGGGAGAGCCTTGCCTAGGCTGTCCTCAGAACTGGGGTGGTGCTGTCCCCAAACCCACAGTTCACCCTGCCACCCCGAGGTGCAAGGAGTGGTCCCTGGGGCCAAGAGAGTGGAGGGGCGGGTGCCCGGCCAGCCCCTGGGCCTGGCCTCTGGCCCTGACCAGCCCTGCTGCCGCCTTCCGTCCCGCAGGGGGTGGCTTCCACCACTGCTCCAGCGACCGCGGCGGAGGCTTCTGCGCCTACGCGGACATCACACTCGCCATCAAGGTTAGTTCTGAGGACGCGGGCACCCACTTCCGGGAGCCTCTTCAGGTCCTCCCACGGCTGCAGTGTGGCGCTCTCCCCCTGCATGCCCGGGAGGGGAACCGAGGCTCAGCAGGGAGGGGCTCGCCCAGGCTGCTCAACTGGTCTGGGACTCGAACCAGGCCTGAGGCTGCCTCTTCTCTGTCATCGTGGGGAGAGTGGGCAGCCGTGCCAGCCTCCTGCAGTGCCAGCCCAGCGGTCTTGATGCGGGGCCCCCAGCAGCGTGAAGTCACTGACGAAGGGAGAGGGAGGAGGACAGAAAGTGACAGCTAGAGTGTGGGGACAGGAGGCGTGTGCACTGCACGCTCGGCCCACTGCCGGCCTCGGTCCTCCACGTCTCACCTCATTTCATCTCAGAGATGAGGAGACTGAGGCCGGAGAGGAGACGCTGCACAGCTAGAAAGGGCCGAACTGGTAGGAGCCTTGGCCTTGCCTGGACCCCAGAGCCCCACTGCTCGGTCTGCACCCAGCGATGTGCTGGGTGCTAGGCCAACTCGAGGCCCTGTTCTCATGGAGTGCATTGACTAAAGGGAGAGACCAGCGGGTAAGCTGACCTGACCATTAGGAGGGGGAAACACAGCAGGCATTCCTAGAGGAGAGAAGGAGGGAAGGAAGGCTTCCTGGAGGAGGAGGCACTGGGATTAGGGTCTAGCCTTTATGGGATAAAGATTTAGGGATGATGGTTCAGGGCTCTGACTCTCCCTGTAACCTTATACGTTTCCCGGAGAATCTGAATGATTGCACCGTTTACCTCCTGGTCCTCCAGGGGATATACATGCTGCCTCCTCTAGGGAGCCTTCCCTGACTACCTCCTGCACACACGCATGCTTCTCCCGAGCCCTGCAGCTCTTTGCCCTGCGGCCTGACTGCCCTGGAGCACATGTGCCTTCCGGCCCCACCCCTTCACCCTGGGGTTCCCAGAAAGGCTGGGTCCTCATATGTCCCCTCTCCTCCCCTGGGCAGTTTCTGTTTGAACGAGTGGAGGGCATCTCCAGGGCCACCATCATCGATCTCGACGCCCATCAGGTGAGTACTCTGCGAGGGCTGGTCTCCCCCAGGACCCACCTCCTTGGTCCCTGAACCTCCTTGTGGCAGGAGAGTCCCCTCCTCATGTCCCCAGCGCCCTTCGTCTGTCACCCAACCCTATCTGTGGGGATCCCTAATTCTAGGAAACTCCTCAAGCCCTAAGTCAGGACCCCCCAGTCTCTGCCTCTCTCCTGTAGCTCAGGCTGGAAACAAAAGGTCTTTGTCCCTTTGCCCGACTCGGCCCAGCCAGGGCTTCTGCTTTCAAACCCGAAGGTCCTCCCTGCTGCCTCCTGACCGCCCCGTGCCCGGCTGCTGGCTGTCCCCAAGCCTGTCTGGCAGCACTGCCCTCTCGCCGAGTCTGGTGTGGTTCTCCATTGCTCCCCAGTCACTTGGGGGTGTCATTTCCCATTCATAGCTGATGGGCACTGAGGACCTGGTCCTCATGCACCATTTTATTTGATTATTTTTAAAATTTGAATGTCCAAAATACATTTCTCAATGTTATAAAAATTACTAGAAACTACCATGACCCAAAACAGGCCAGGCTGTTAACTGCACACACACTTCAGTAATGAAAGTTTACCCTGGGAACCAGTAGTTGGCGTAATGGCTATGTTGCTGGACTCCCATGTACTCAACCGCAGTTCGAGTCCCAGACCCGGTGGCTTAAACTCATGCCAGGCACGTGTGCGTGTATGCCCAAGATCCCAAGAGGAGAATGAAAGAGAAGGAAGGCGTGGCCACCCCCCCCTGGGGGGGGGTGATTTCTCACTTTCTGTCTCTCTGTCTTTCTGGGAAGCACACGTGCCCTATAGCAAAAACCTCCCCAAAAAAAAAAAAAAGATCTTGATCTAAATATTTTCGGTAGTAAGCACAGCTGATATATACATATCCGTGAACACAAGCCTGACGTTAGGCATAAACCTCAGCTCACTCACAATTTTAGGGTTGCCTGCGCTTCCTGAGGCCAGCATTTAAGAAATCAGAAAAAAAAAAAAAGATCTTGATCTAAATATTTTCGGTAGTAAGCACAGCTGATATATACATATCCGTGAACACAAGCCTGACGTTAGGCATAAACCTCAGCTCACTCACAATTTTAGGGTTGCCTGCGCTTCCTGAGGCCAGCATTTAAGAAATCAGGCACCAGCAGGTGGCGTGGTGATTAAGGTGCAGGACTCCCACATGGCCGACTGTGGTTCAAGTCCTGGACTTGGTGGCTTGCTTTCTCTCTCCCTCTGATAAAATGAAAAAGTAATAATAACAAGTGGAATGAAGTAAATAAATAATTCTTTTAAAAAGGAAAGAAATTGGGACCAGCAGTTAGCGTAATGGCTATGTCGCTGGACTCCCATGTGGTTGACCGCGGTTCGAGTCGCGGGCCCGGGCGCTTAAACTCACGCCAGGTGCGTGTGCGTGCGTGCCTAAGATCCCAAGAGGAGAGTGGAGAAGGGATTGTGGTGTGGCCATCCCCCCTGGGGGGTGATTTCTCGCTTTCTGTCTTTCTGTCTCTCTCTGTCTTTCTGGCGAGCACATGCACCCTATAGCAAAACCCTCTCCAAAAAAAAGAAAGAAAGAAAGAGAGAAATCATTGCCTAGGGGTAAAGCACCCAAGCATAGGAGCACCTCTTTCTCAGGACTCCGAACTCGAGGCTGGCTCCTCTGGCCAGAGAGGGGCAGAGAGCTCGTGGCCACCCCCTCACCCCCTGCAGGCCCCTCTGTACTTGGTGCTTTGTCGTCGTACTGGTTGGGGCCCTGCTCCGAGTTCACATGACCCTGAGCTCCTGGGCCAAGTCACATGTAAACAGCCCCTTCCAGCTTGCTTGTCACACTCCCGACCCCCTCACCTTCCCCTCAGACTTCACAGAGCTGTCAGGGCCAGGACTCCTGCCTTGTTTCATAGACAAGGAAACCACGAGGGCTGGGGCTTGCCCAAGGTCAGGCTGGAGGGTCCCAAGGCCAAGGTTTGAGGTTGAGCTCCAGCTCCACCACTCAGCAGCCACCAGACCCTTGCTGCCTGGCCATGCGGGAAGTTTCCTGAGGTGGAATTGGGGGTGCTGGGCCCACCATGCGCATCTGCCTGAGAGCGGCTGTCCCGTCCTCCCCACAGGGCAACGGGCACGAGCGAGACTTCATGGGTGACAAGCGCGTGTACATCATGGACGTCTACAACCGCCACATCTACCCTGGAGACCGCTTTGCCAAGCGTAAGCCCCTGCCCCTCCCCTCGGTCTTCAGTGCGTTCTTGCTTGGAAGAGGCTCTCCCCTCCGAGTACTTCCTGCTAGCGAGGCCCAGCAATCACTTCATTACCTTCAGCCTCCCTGCGTGGCGGGTCACTCCCACTTTACGGGAAGAAAGATGGCGCTCAACCCACCCAAGATCACTAAAACTCGTCAAGTAAATGCGTGGGGTCCTGGTGTCAGGGGGAACCACCAGAAGAATGAAAGGAAGTCTTCTCGTTGGTACGCATCTCTGTGACAGGAAACAAGAAAGAAGAACAAAGAGATGAGACAGAGGGCCAGCAGATGATGTAGTGGTAACATGACCGACCGTGGTTCGAGTCCCGGATTGGGCTTGAAAATCATGCTGGGGGACCTAGCAGATGGCACAGCAGTTATAGCACTGGATTCCCACATGGCCAACTGTGGTTTGAGTCCTGGACCTGGTGGCCTGAAAATCACACCAGGTACATGTGCATGCATGCCCAAGACCCCAGGAGGAGAATGGAGAAGGGATTGCAGCATGGCCGTCGCCCCTGAGGAGTGATTCCCCCCCCTTTCCTTCTCACTATCTCTGTCTCTTTCTCTGGTGAGCACATGTGCCCTAAGGCAAAAACCTCTTAAAAAAAAAACAAACCCCAAAAAGATAAACAAAAAATATAAAATAGAATGGCAGCAATACATACAAGGGGGCTTCAGAACACGTGCGGAGAAATGGAATTAAAGGATGAGTTTATTTTGGTGCAAATAAAATTTCAAAAGCTGGCCAGCCAGTCCTGTAACCTAGTGGTTAAGAGTGACAGATCCCACAGGGCTGACTGCACCACAGTTCGAATCCTGTCCTGGGTAACTTGAAAATCATGCCAGGCATGTGTGTGTGCATTTCCTGAATCCAGTCAGGATGGAGAAATGGAGGAGGAGGTATCGCAGTGTAAACGCACCCCATTGGCGGGGTTGCTTCCTCCATATCCCCGTCTCTGTCTGTCTCTCTGGTGAGCACATGTGACCTCTGGCAATTAAAAACGTTTTTCTAATACGTGAAGTTTTTTTTTTTTTTTTTTTTGGAGGGGTTTTTGCTATAAGGCGTGTGCGCTCACCAGAAAGACAGAGAGAGCTAGAGAGATAGAGATAGAGAGTGATAGAGAAATAAACCCCCAGGGGGATGACCACACCGCAATCCCTTCTCCTCCATTCTCCACTCGGGATCTTGGGCACACACGCACGCACACACCCACACACACACACCTGGCGTGAGTTTTAAGCCACTGGATCCGGGACTCGAACCGGGGTCAGCTACATGGGAGTCCAGTGACATAGCCATTAGGCTAACTGCTGGTCCCCGAATACGTGAAGTTTTTCACAGTATGGATTTTCTATGAGTTTTTTGAAAATCCCCTTGTATAATAGTTGTTCAAATAAATGGAAGTGAGTTAAACTCATCAATCAAAAGGCACAGACTCTCAGGTGAGAGTTGAAATGGGACACTGCTCACCTCGTAGGCAGGGCACACCGATGCCCAAGGTGCGAGGGGGTTGGTGTGGGAAGACAGAGGCTGAGAAGGCCCGAGGGACTGACTTCCAACCTGGATTTCTTAATGTGCTGCACGTGGGCTTGGGGGCCGGCTGCGGTGGCCATGTGTCCGGGCAAGGGGTCAGGGAGCCATTACTG